GTATTGCTCAAGGAGGACCAGGTTTTCCATTTTTGTCATTACCTTCTTACTATTACCTGGCAACAGGTGATGTTGTTAGTGCAATGGCATATTGTGATCCTTGGGATGTGCCAGATTTTGAAAGTAGGCAGTGCATTCTAAAGGTAAATTTAGTAGCTAATCATACATAATTATCAGATTTTGTTCACAAAATGTCAGAACAAAGTTACCACTGACTACAGTGAAGGTGGACTTTGCATAATTGTAGGAGTTATTGTAAAGTGCTACAGCCAATGGACCTATTCCCTAATGAACAAAACTTCGATCTGGACAAAAATTTCATCACAGCTTGAAAGAGCATCACAAAATTAGTAATATTCCGAAGTTTCGTTGCAAAATGTTGTAAAATGCGGATAAATAACTATTTTGCGGAGTGCGGTCTAGAACATGCGACTTTCTAAAGAACGAGTCATGCACAATGATCATTTTTGTTTTGGAAAGCCAATCACAAAACATGAGTATTTTAGGTAGGTCTTTACCCACCCCTTGTTATAAATTTCCAAGAGGAGGGATTTTTTGAAACATTCTTTAATTGTGCTGCTCTCGATTTTTAAGTAGAATTGACATTTTGGTTTTATTTAATGCAGTTTTGCTAACCCCTAAAAGCTTTTGCGGCCTCTGAAAATCACTCGTAGTGAGGACATAGACCCGTGCCCCTCCCCTGCTAAGCTGCACCTTGCACCAAAATTGGTTTGTAATTAAAATTTTTGTTCTTTTCCTCACATGTTTCAATTTTATGCCCAAAGGTTTTGGATGCCACCAGTGAAGAGGAGTTTCAGGTATTGGCTACTGATGATGAATTCATGAATGTTTTTTCATTATGTGGAGATACAAGTATGCTGAAGGTTAGTAAAATTAAAAAAACTAATACAATTAATTAAATGTAATGAGTAATAAGGATATACGGTATAAAGTAATGTATCTTTCCCCATTTATAATTGTGTATCACTTTGTTTGACTGGTAAAATCATATGTGGCATCTACTGTACCGTACTATACGCAGGCTATGTTCTTGCACAATGTAATCGCGTAAACTGGGTCCAATGAGTCCACCTTCTTGGCTTCCTCTTTGGAACATTCAATTTCATCTTTATTGAACATGTGAAATCGCTGTAAATATGCGAATATACAACTCGAACGGGCAAACTAATGCCACTTAAGCTTTTGCATATTTTTAATGTTTCAAATTGGGGCCGAATCAATCACCAGTGAGTTATTTTGACATACGTCTTCCAGTCATGTATTCAATCAGAGGTGACATATGTATGTTTATGGTTATTTAAATAGAGCTTCTTTTATCCACAGTCATGTTTTGTTTCGCCATAGGTTACTGTGAAAATTGTAGATGCCACAAACAAGTGCAAATGTTCTTGGAACCATTCCAATTTCCAATAGACCGCATAATGACGTCACAATGCCTGATGATACTGATCTTAATAGTCATCGAATTTGAATTGTAGTCAATTTAAATTTAACCCATTGAGTCGTATTGCACCCTGATGCACCCTACTTTAGTATTTTACTCTGTCTAACGCCACACGATTTTACTCGTCAAAGGGAGAGCGCTGGCACTTAATGGGTTAACTGATGCACCAAACACCGCTGAAAAACGTCTGCGCATGCGTCAACCTTACCTGTAATAGTATTGCGAACTTGATGAGAAGCTGTTCCGAACGTTTCCGAAGGCTCAAAATGGCTGTAAAAAGGAGTGACTTCATTGTGCGTCTTTACAGCCAGATTTCAAGCGCAAAAATAAACATGTCATTCTAAAAACTAGAAATAAATACAGCCAGAAGGTTCAAGAAATTGTATTGTACAAGAACATGAACTAAAGGTGATTGTTGACAAATTTATCGTCTGGAACATTTTGTTTATCAACTAAGCAACGACAATTTCCGAATTTTCGTTTGAGATACATTTCTTTAAAAAAAACTGTGTCGCCAAATATAAAACATTTTCGTGTTCACAATAATTAAACTTTAGGATTTATTCTACAATTTGAGTGGGTTAAGAAGCTTAACTTTTCGAGAGTTTTCTTAACTTTTTAGTTTGAATTTTTGTTTTGAATAATTTTGCAAACATTTTCGAAGTCGTGTCCGTTAAAATCAACATTTTTTTACATGAATTATATTTCATTCCATACTTTAAATGCCAGGACGCTTTCAATTAATGTCTAGTCTACCCATTTGCTATATTTTCTCGTTTGTTTTACTAATTTTTGACTAATTAATAAGCATGTTTTTGTTTTAGAAATTGATATTCAAATTCCCCGCCATATTTTCATAATTTGGCGCATGCGCAGACGTTTTTCCGCGGTGTTGATGCACCATACTTTAATACTTTACTCTGTCTAAAGCCAGACGATTTTACTCGTCAAGGGGAGAGCGCTGGCGCTTAATGGGTTAAACCGTTAATATTGATGGCCGATGACTACTCCTTGCGGGATCCAATTCTTGTGACGTCATTATCCTTAAGGTCTATTGTGTTCAGTTGATCGGCAATTTTTTTTTAAAATTTAGCTCACAAATAAAAGGAAGATAATTCAATCAATTGGAGCGTATGAAGTCCTTGGCAAACGGAAGATGGCACTAGACCAAATACGCAAGGGATTGAAAAGCCTTGGTGTCCTCGAGCTTATGGAAAAATATCCCCAATTATTCGAAGATCTGTTCCATCCAAAACCAATGCCTCTTACAGCAGTATGCATTAAAGAGAATCTTCTTTTTCCTCAGCAGCTTAATGAAGTAGATCATCAAGTAATTGGCATGCTTATCAGGTTTTTGGACCAGTCGTCTCAAGAAAGGCTTCAAGGCTTCTTAAAATTTTGCACTGGAGGCAATGATATCCGTCTGAGGCAAGGGAAGAAAATTGCTGTTGAGTTTCATGACCAAAACTATATTCAAGCATCAACATGTTCACTGAAAATGATGTTGCCAACAAGACAGTGTCTTGTCTTATGGTTTGTTTGAGGTGGCTCTCCAAGCAGCATTACAAGAATGCGGAAAGGCATTTACCATCCCTTGAAATTAAAGTACTGTAACTTCTTCTGATACTGAAGTTTTCATTTGTTTATTTTGTTTTACAAGTTATGTTTGATATATTATTCAGTACATTCAGCTGAAATTACTGTGAAATGTTGTTGGTTATAAAAAAGTACACAATCGTAAAATGGCTACCAAACTGAACAATCTGCAGCATTTATGAAGAATTTATGTGAAGTACCATAACCTGAAGTGTTAACTTCTCAGTTCAGGAAGGCTATTTGTAAAAAACACATTAAAACTTTTATGTGACTTATATGTGCTTTTTGTGAATAAAAATGCAGTTTCATAAAGAAATATGCAGATCACAAAAATTTCGATATCGATATTTTTTCAATATTGCAACAGCCTAATTAAAAGTGGCATGAACACAAAAATTTGGTGAATTCATAGGGTGCAAGCAACGTATGTACCAGACAATTTGATGTACATCTGGTACTTTCACATTTCATAAAACACTTTCCAAACTCGCACTTGATGAATTCATGTTGCGTTTTAAACCTATTATTGTGGACACACCACTTTAAATGTGATTTTAAAACCAGATAAATTCTTCAGAAATGTTTTTAGTTTAATGAGCATTTTAGAATTGTGTTGTATTTGTTTTAAACCCTGTACAGGTTCACATTGTATGTTTGAGTTTCTGTTCCTTCTGTACCACTGAAGTGCATATGCCTGAGACAGGAAAGACAAAGAAACATCGTACATGGTTCTTTTTATCATCTATCTGACTGCATTGTACCCTTGCCCCCTTGGTATGACTTGGGGCATGGGCATTGTATAAAAAATCAAGCCCCAAATATGGGTCAGCCCATTTTACTTTTGAGACATAGACGAAAAAGGTAAAATAAACCATGCACAATACGTTTGATTGCAACAGCAAGTATCATAGTGTCATATAATACCCAAATTATTCTCGTGCTCTGATTTCAAAGACATTCTTACAGGGAACTATTGTAAATTTACTGTACCTTGTTATAAATGTTTGAATCATTACAAATTAAAGTTTTCAATAATGCCCATGGCTTCATGATATATATCAACACCAAATGTTTGTGATTCCCTAGTTGGATCTACCTCTAAATACAATGTTTGAATCAACTCTTCTGGAAGGTTAATGTCAAGTTCATTGACCTCTACTGTCGATAGTCCATCATCTGGAGGAAGAGGTGCATGGGGGTCATGTCCAAACCAAGCTAAATCTTCACTTCGCTCACATTCATTTCTGACATCAGCCACAGCCAAAAGATGCATGTTTGTAATATCCAGCATTCCATTTGCCCACATTTGTTCTGGTGACCAATTTTGCTCTGTCCTCACAGGGTGTCGATTCCAGGCATTTA